AGAAACATTAAAAGATAATAGACGCACATAAATAAGCAGTCCATTCCTTCTTATTGTTTCTTTTTCTCCATATTGATTTCGAAACGAGCTCTTTTTTTATCGCTTAAGGCCTCCACTTCTTCTTCAAATGTTCGCTCTGTCTCACGTTCCATAAGCTTTACGTATGATTTTACCGTGAAATCCGAAGCCTCTGTTGCCCCACTCTCTATCTGCTTAGACATAGTGTACAGATCATGCCGCCGCACCCGCATATGAACATGATTTCGATCGTCTGTCCAATCACTACCCGTCAATGACCATCGATCTACAAAACACATATCCGGTGAAGTCTGCACAACCTTTTCACCATTCACATCCTTATCTTCTCCATACCATGCAAACAACTGTGATCGCATAGAGTTTACCGCTGCAGCTCTTATTAACAACGCCGTGGCGATATCGTGCATTTCCCGTTCTGCGGCCACAAACGCCCGGTGTGAGATACACCACGAGATATTCTCAAAATGACAATCCCACAACACAAGTGGGGCGGCATCCGCGAGAGGATACACTGGTTTACTATCCCCGCGTTCTAACAATTCTGTGATGACGGTCGGTGACTCCAGACCACGTCCAACAAGTGTGAGTACTTCCATTGTACACCGAATTTGGTGATAAAGAAAGGAATTGGCGTGAATTTCTAAATACGACACCAACTCTGGTAACATCTCACTTGTCACTATACGAGCACACCGAATATGACGTTCAAAGTTACTGACATTTACAACATCAGTTTTACAGAAATTTCGAAAGTTATGAACACCCTCCAGACGAGAAGCCGCATCTCGCATGGCTTCTAAATTAAGTCCACGATGACAGAAATAATAACGATACGTTCGTCCCACACAAGAGAAACGAGCATCAAAACTCTCATCCACATATGACCATCCAATAATACGTATAGTAGGAGGCAATACATTATTTAACATTCCACAGTAATCCAGTGGGGGCTTCTGCACAGTGTCTGTTGGCCACGAAGAGGCCCGCACGATGAGAGAGATGGCGTTGCCAAGTGCACTCACGCCCTTGTCTGTTCTCCCGCAGCGGGCAAAGTCACTTGGGCCATCGTGTGGAATAAGCCGCACTCTGCAAAGGGCATCGAGAAGATGTTCTTCTACGGTATTTTTTGTTTCTACTTGTTTGACGAGTCCATCAAAGTGCTGGCCATGATAGGCGAGGCGCAGGGCGATTTTGCGGGAGGGATAACGAGAAAAATCAAATCCACGATGTTGTTCTTGCAGTTGTTTTTGTTTTTGTATTTTCTTTCGTGCACGTTTGTTGAGGGGTTTGGGCGTTTGTGTGGGTTGATGCTCAACGACGGTCTCTGCGGGGTCCGGTGTGCCGCTGCGTTCGGTCGACATTACAGTAGTGCGTCCTTCAGGGATGATAAATAATAGAAGAGGAAGAAGAAGAAGTGGGGAAAAAAAAACAAATAATAAATACAGAGATAATTAGATAAATAAAGTAGAAGTATAATCCATTATTATTATTATTATTTTTTTATCACTTTCATAAGCAAAAAGGGATGGGGAAAGGAAATACTAACAAAAGAATAAGAAACAAACTAGTTATAGTAGTAAAAACCACTGCAAAGGGGGTAGTTCAACATATCATTTGTCTTCTATATATATATATATATATAATAATAATAATAATAATAATAATAATATATACAATACCAAGAAATAATTCTAAGAAATAAAAGGCATCAACTTGTGGTAATACCATATTATTATAAGAAGTACCACTAACTTATTCTGTAAAAGTATCATAGATATACGCGAGTGGAGCCCCACCACACACAGAGTATGATAACAGAGGAATTAATGTAAACTGCAACATCTCTGTAAACAAAAAGTGATTTCTAGTCTTCACTGAGTTCTTCCATACAATTCCATATTCCTTCTTCACACTGTTGTGTGTTGGTGGAATTAATGGAAATAGACCATAACGTCTAGAAAGAAGTGTTACTTTAGATGCCGGAATAAAAACCGCCACTTGAGCGGTAGGAACACTTGTAATCATGTGATGGAGCAAGGGGAAAAAAGAATGAGGATTTAATCCCTCCTCATTTTCTTTTTCTACTTCCCAAAGTTGTTTAAAGATCATATAAATAGATAATTCCTCTTTCTTTTTTTCGGATAACCACTGTTGAAAGAAACCACGCGCTGTCTGTACCCAAATCCCACCAATAAAAACTACTGTCTTTACTTTACACGTTTTTTTCTCTGCAAAGACATCAAATAGGGCATAAAAGTGTGAACGTACTACACTAGCAAGACGAGTAGGATGTACAGAACGAATAAATGGGGATTTATTTATATCAAAGAAAGGAGAAGGTATAAATATAATATCTACTTTATAAAGAGAACTGGCTCGAAGAAGTTTTACAAAGGTTTCGTAAAAATGTCTATATAAACGTGCGGTGAGTTCTGTTCCCTCAAGAAATATCTCCACATCTGAAGTATGATCAGTTTCAGAGGGTTGAAGAAAATATTCCACTTCTTCTAGTGAAGTCCCATCAAAGGAAGTAGCAAGAAGAACTACAAGACTTTGAATTTGATGATTTTTATCTTTTACGGGTTGTTTAATAGAATCCTCACGGCAATTTAATTCTACTAATGGTAATAAAAAGGAATGAACAATTCGATAGGAAACTCGTTGTGGAGATAGTAATAATAATCGTTCAAAGTATTCCAAAAGTATAGGAGGAGAAAATCCAGAGATGGTTTCATCTAAAGTAGATAAAGAAATACGAAGTGTTTCTATACACTGATGCCATTCCTTTGCAATATATTTAAGAAACTTATCACTATTAAATACCTCATGTACTTTCGTAACTTCATTTAACATATTATGTAGTTGTTGGGTTCTCCATATTCTTTCTTGTGAATCCTCAGGGTTATTTACATCTCTTGCATTCTCTACAGAGAGAAGAAATCGAAGTGAAGACTCCTGCAGTTCAAGTTGTTCCTTCGTCATATGAAAACCCTCTTCTGTTCCAATTAAAGACATTGGAGTGTTGGCAAAAAATGTGTGAAGTAACCAAGAATAGGGAAGTTCACAAAAGAGGGATTCCATTAAATAATAGAGATACTTTGGAATAGACTGGTCTGTCACTATGCAGAAAGATTCAAACACATTTCTTAAAAAAGGTATTTTATGTACTCCCTCTTCTTTTCCTTTTCCTTTTCCTTTTCCTTCTTCTTCTTGTTGTTGCCGCTGTGGTTGACCGAAAGCATCCATTAATTGTAAATCTTCCAGTTTTATATGAAGTTTATTGGCCAAACACACACCGTCCACTGTGTGTGGCACACCTGTGAAGTCTGTATCTATAGTTGAATGGGATGATCCTATTCTTGTTGAGTTAAGAGATCGAATGGCGGTAATGGTCGATATAAACTTCTGTTCCTCCTCCCCTTGATAGTTATCATCATTCCTCAAACAACAATCCTGCAATAACTTTAAAACGACATTTAATCCAATGGGTGTATTGATATCGATATTATTATTATTATCATTATCATCATTATAGGAGTGTAGCTGTGTATGCGGAGATTCCCATTCTATTTCTTCTTCTTCCTTTGTCATTTCCTTCACTTCGGCTTGCAGAGTTTTCTCTGTTCTCTTGTTAAGATGTAGTGAAGTTAACAGCTCTTCTACAAATCCAGACTGCCGGGATTCACATGAGGGACTATACACTACAGTGTATGCATCTTTGAACTGCAATCCATTCTTCATTGGAAGTGCAGCAGTTGACATTTGCTGCTATCATATATATATATATATATATATATATATATATATATATATGTATATGTGTATATGAGTGTGTAGGGAAAACAATTGAGATGATAAAAGAAGAGAAAAGATAAAGAAATTTTTATTTATCTATTGTTATCATTTTTCTTCAATGATCTAATCCCATTTAGCGATGTCATTTTCTTTCTTGTATATATATATATATA